GAAAGATCTTCATCAGCTGAGAGAGGATGTGGAGTCTCATAAGGTGAGTCTGGAGAAGAAGAGAAGGTGTGAGACGTCTCAGTTTGGACTCACTGAACTCACTGTGTGATTGTGATGTGTGTGTAACAGCGCTCTGCACACACAGCAGTGGAGACAGTGAGAAGATCTTCACTGAGATCATCCGCTCCATTGAGAGAAGGCCGCTCTGAGGCGACACAGCGGATCAGAGATCAGGAAAAGACTGCAGTGAGTCGAGCTGAAGGACGACTGGAGCGACTGGAGCAGGAGATCAATGATCTGAGGAGGAGAGACGCTGAGCTGGAGCAGCTTTCACACACACAAGATCACATCCAGTTCCTGCAGGTAACAGAGATCTAGGAGAACAGGATCATAGTGGACTTGAGCAAGAATCTGCTATGACAGAGAAACATTTGATGAGAGCAGAATGAGCCGTTGACTGAGAATGTTGTCCAGGAATTCAGTCAGATTCAGTCGAGTTTTGTGTTATCATATAATCATCAGTCAGACGCTCATCTGATCATCTTCTGTTTAAAAGAGACGCACTTACAAAGTCCTGGGAAATGGACCATTAAAAAATGAGCTGATTGTGTGAGTGCTGGATTGAAGCGAGTCACTGAAGAGAAGTCAAGTCTACAAGAGCCGCACAGATCTGATATAGTGCAGGTTATTGGCTGAAAGTGTGGAGATGATGAGTTTTGATTTGTGTTTTCTGTAGAGTTTCCAGTCTCTCTCAGCTCCTCCTGAATCTACAGACGAACCCGACGTTCCCTTCGGTTCTCTCTCCTCTTTTGATGGCGTGAGAGAATCTGTCCGTCAGCTGAGAGACAAACTGGAGGATTTCTGCAAAGAGGAGATCAAGAAGATCTCAGACGGAGGTAAAGTCTGCGCCTCCTTTATACACACGTGTGAGAAAGAGCCAAATCTGAACAATCGGATGAACGGATCAATCCGATGTGTGTGTTTTATAAATGAAGCCCCTGGAGATTATTCATCAGCTCTCAGAAATGAGTCCATCATCTAATATCATACAGCATTATATTAGAAATGTCTCAGAAATGAATGTATTTGATCTTGTCATTTCTCTTCACACTGTTCATGTCTGTTTATTTCCACAGTCACTTTCACCAACATGAATCCCAAGACCAGGAACGACTTCCTACAATGTGAGTCACTAGAAAACAAGCAGGAAAACTCACTGAGTGTGTTCATGTTCTTCCTGTAGAAGGAGAAATAAATCATGATAGAAGAGTTTTATAATTGATCATGTAAATGAGGATTTGCTCAGGATATCTGATCATCTGTACTGAGACACTGATGATACATTGAACATTGAGTCATGAAGAGTTCAGAGACATTAAAAGATCAGACAGATTCATAATTCCTGTTTCTGATGTGTTTTCTCTCCATCAGATTCCCATCAGCTCACTCTGGATCTGAACACAGTGCATAATTACATCAGTCTGTCTGAGAGGAACAGAGTTATTACTCACACTTACACAGAGCAGCCGTATCCTGATCATCCAGACAGATTTGATTATTATCTTCAGGTGTTGTGTAGAGAGAGTGTGTGTGGACGCTGTTACTGGGAGATTGAGTGGACTGGAGATGATGTTGATATATCAGTGTCATATAAGAGCATCAGCAGGAAGGGATGGGGTCATGAGTGTCTGTTTGGATGTAATGATCAGTCCTGGAGTTTGTTCTGCTCTTCCTCCAGTTACACATTCAGACACAATAACATATACACTCCTCTCCCTGTAAAGTCCATCAGCAGAAGAATAGGAGTGTGTGTGGATCACAGTGCAGGAACTCTGTCCTTCTACAGCGTCTCTGACACAATGAGCCTCATCCACACAGTCAAGACCACATTCACTCAGCCGCTCTATCCTGGGTTTGGGGTTGACTCTGGATCATCAGTGAAACTGTGTTGATGTTTCAGAACAGATATAGAGAGAATTTACCCATAATACTTTGAGCCGCACGATAAACCAGTAACAGTGAGATGTTATAGAGACTCTTATTTCCTCTTCATTACATTAATACTGATGATCTTCACTGAAATAAAACAGAATAAATGTGTGTATCAAATCCTCATAGAGACAGTAAGAACAGTGTGTGTGTGTGTGTGTGTGTGTGTGTGTGTGTGCGTGCTTCTCAAACTGTAACTGTTTTGATGAAAACCTTTAATTTGTTTGTTTTTTTAATAGTGACATAATAACAAAAAAAATATTTTTATTATTTCTATAAAAAGTATCTCTCAGTTGAAATGATCAAACACAGGTTCATTACTGAATGAACAGATTGAGGATCGTGTGGTTTTGAAGGAAATAACAGAACTGGTTGTGAACAATGTAAGGAGTGAAGATGTGGAAATGACATTAGTAGTGGAGAAAATAATGCTGGAAAACAATCACAGTTCAAAATGTGAGGAAAATTGTGATGCAGAAGATGAGGGATGAAGAAGCACTTTCTGAGATTTCAGATATTGGGCCACAAGGGATTGAAATCATGAACTCTAGAAGAAATAAATGACTTTCACAACGTTTGATAAAGTTGTCAGTTTTGAGTGATGCTGCAAAACAATCATTGAATCAGAGCTTTCATTGTCTCAAGGCACACTATACATCAGGGGTACTCAAGTTCAGATGCCAAAGGGTTCACATTTAAACCACATAAAATGTAAAGGGCCACAAATTACAACTTGCATCGTAAGACTTTATTTATGACAATACTCACAGTTTTTACTTATTTAGAAATGCAGTTAATTACCTATCTTGCTAAGTAAGTCTTAAAGTGGATTAACAATAAAGTGGATTAACAGTTTTCTAGCAATACTAATGCAACGAAAAAAAAAAGTTCATACTCATACATTAAAACCTCCCTGCAAGGTAAGTCTTGCTAAGGCTTCATGTCGCTACGCGTGGGCTTTTTAAATTTGTCCAATTAGGACATGTCATTTGTATAATAAAGACATTTTAATGAAGGAGTGCCTCGGTCATCAGAGATTTTTTCTCTCTCTACTGTTTCCTTGATGTCCTACCTTGGACCGAAGAGCACCCAGGTTGAACTTTTTTTTAAAGGAATTGAGCACGCCACTCATCTTGAATCCAAACAACAACTTTAAAATATTTTTTTTTTTATGTTATTATTGCTTATTAAACCATCCTTGATTTAACCTAAGCCGAGTCATTTCCAGAAGTGGTCTAGATCATACAGCCGGAGCCGGTTTTTATGGTGAACATGAATCGGCCCAGTGTTTCACAGCCGTAACAAAAATGCATGTTCCAGAGCGAGCTGCGGGCCACAATCGGCCCGGTTAACACGTAATATATAGACATACGGTGCAATATATATACGTAATATATAGACAGACGCCACGGGGCAGCCGAGCTCAGGCTGATTGTTCATGCTGGGACACGAAGTTGCGTAGGCTCAAGGTGTAGCTATGCACTTGGTGTCGGCAGACTTAAAAAAACATAATAAAATCATTTTTTTAGAAAAATCCACCAGATTCTTGTTCTAAATATCACAGACTACCACTGCGGTGATTTTCATGTTGAGCTACTGTTTTATTATTTAATAATTGTCAAATCATGACCATACTGTAAAGGCTACATGATCAAATATGCCAAACATGAGGAGAAAGAGCTTATTTTGGTGAGTAGGCTAATGCCTTAAGCAGCAGTGCTAAGAAACATGATTTGTGAAAGCACAGTTATAATGGAAATGTTTTATTACAGTAGCTTGCACACAGCAGACACAGTGCGACACCTACTGGTATGTTTTTGTAATTGTTTTAAACTGCCCTAGGTTTTAAACTTCGTTGGATTATTAGTGGACTGAGAACCTTCACATATGTCGTTTTTGATTGTATTATTAACAAACTACTATCACTATTCTCTTGGTCGGCATTACGTCACTAATCATGTGACCTGCATAGCAACCGGCCACGAAGGGTAAAATAAACCGAAGTCAATGCCCGAGGCAAATCAAAAAGGTATCTATTCACAGAAGTTTTGCTGTGGATTGTCAGTTATGGATACTAACTGACTACTTTGTATTAATAATGAATGATATCTGTGTATGCGGATGTATGTCGGTGGTGAGGAGTGAATAATAAAACACTCATGTAAAAGGCTTTGTGACTTGCTAACGTTACATGTCTGTGAAAGGCGCTAGCAGCTAGCTATATGAATTTATATCTTCTTCTTCTATTATTACATAATGTCGTATCAATATATAGACAGTCTCCTAGCGCCTGCCTTGACCAGGTACCACAGAAAGCTGTCGCTTGTAGGTTTAACATTACAATCTTGTCCCTATCGGCATCCAGCTGAGTCTTGGTAGAACAACCCAAAAGCATGGCCCACCTCATCAAATCCCCTGAACACCATGTGTACATACATGTGTCCTACACTTGCAGTCATGTTTAAATACCAATCAAGCATCGATTACATATTAACTATGTTATCGATTTTTTTATTCATTAAATATTTTTTTTTTATGTTACAAAGTGGGGTTGCTGTAATGAGCTCAGTCTGTCAATGGCACAACTTGTAGCTACAATGTCAGTGAGGGACACAGTTTATTCAAAAAAGCCAAAAAAGGCTAACTGCATAAATGTAGTCTATCTTTTCCCCCACAAAAATAGTGCATTTCATTGTTGCTTATCGGTGTAGAGCTGCCGACCATTATGCATAGCAATGTCAATGCAGAAAATTGAGTGGCCATCCCTGCAGTGGTATTATTTAGTTATTCTTTGATTTGCCCCTCAATTTGTTCATTCATTTGAGATTACATTTCTATTTAGATTAATTTTAGACGCTTATTTACAGGGTTGCCAACTTTTGAGTTTTGCTTGGAGTGAGATTTTTTTTTTTTTGGGGGGGGGGGGGGTCACAAGATCTTGTAGGGCACAATGTATAGTTTGTCCAATTTTAATTTGGCATTAGGCTAACAGTTTTACTGATTAAAAAAACAGTTGGGAGTAAAGTTCATAAATTATTGTTCTTTCCCATATGATTTATTAAAACTATATTGAGACCTCTGTCCTTCTAGGGGGGTTCGGGGGCATGCTCCCTCGGAAGAAAATTTTGTACATTTTAAGGTTAAATGCATCAATCTGGTGCACTTTGAGAGCTCAAAATTAAGAGTTTTAACCGGCTTCAAATCATGAACTGTGACATTCAACAAAGCAAAAGCCTCGACTTGTACCTGGACATTAAAGAGTGATCAAACATCTTTTTTTTAGTTATGATATAGTAAAGTCTATGATATAAAGACTTTATGATATAAAGTCTCAGTCTCTTTTAGGATGCAATAAACGATTATTATAATAATGTAATAATGATTTATAGAATTATTCCTATTACGTAAAATCCATATAGGCCTAGTCTATAGGCTGCTGTATAAATGAAAATGAATATTTCAAAAGTATATTTTACTTACACTATTGTATAGGAAAATTACAATAGTTTTGTCCTAATTTCTTCACTTGCAAGAAATAAACCCTTGAGCTTTTATTTTGGAGAAAACACCAGATGAGAAGAGAGAGTAAAAGCCGGATTCGAACTCGGGTCGAACGCGTCAAAGTTTGCTATCAGCACCTCACGCCCTCGCCCTACGCCATAGATATTTAGTGAAAGATATCTTTTTTGCTAAAAAGACAGGCACGTAGTGCAAATGTACGCTCTCAACTCACGTTCAAGGTCATAGGCAGCGCAGCGTCTCTCTGTGCATCGCAAAAGCCCGTGTTGACAGTTTGTTAATATAAAGCGGGAGATTACCAGATACAGTATTTTGCTCGTGCCCTGTGGATGTTGTAGCCTAGGCAACTGTATCACGTGCCGTTTGAACTGACGCGCTACTGCGTTCTGTCACATTTAAAAGCGCCAAAACGCTCCATATCAGGAGTAAACTTCTCTGTAGTCTGTCGGTGTCGGTGTCATCTTTTTCAGCGATTTTTCTCTGCGTCCAGTCAGTAGTTAAGAGCCTGAACTTGCTTATAGTAATACAAAAAAAAAAAAATACAGCCCAGAAGAATGTCTAATTTAGCGTGAGATTTCTATGTTGAGCGTGAGACCGTGAGATTGAGGCTGAATGCGTGAGTGTCACGCCAGATGCGTGAGAGTTGGCAACCCTGTATTTATCTTCCGCTTTCGTGTAGCTTATTGGCGGGGGCTTGTTTGTTTTACCCTTCGCCGCGTTGCTATGCGCGCACAGGAGTAAAAGTCCCGGATGTCCGACCTTGAGAATTAGTCTATTACCTAACTAGCCTGTTCAATACATTTCTATGAACACTGTATAACAGGAGCGACGCTGTCCATTACGGTGGAAACCACATTAAATATAAATTTAATAATGTAGTAGCGCTAACAGTAACAAAACTCTGCACACAAAATAAGTTGTAGCATTTTACTGATGGTTTTATGATGTTTAATCTTGAACCGTAATCCGTTCACCATATTACCAACGTAAGAGCTGAAATGTATACAAAAACATGTACTAATCAGCTAACATAGTTCACATCCACATGCGGTCTTACATTTGTGCAAAAACTGGCATATAAACAGACAAAACGATCTTGTATCAACTGATTTAACATACCTTTTGCCTCTTCGGAGGGGCTGCAAGTATTTTCGACGTTTACCACAGGTCCGTGTCAAAATAATTGCCATATAACAAGCTAGATGCTAAACTGCGTTAGACAGGAGAGCGGGCGCGCTTATCAAAAGGCAAAACAAAGCGCGCAGCTGAAGACCGGAAGTTAACCATTTCAGTACCAAACTTCAAAATAAAGCTTCTTCTGTAACAAAATACCCTAAATGGTTATTTACATAAGTTCTTAGGTTAACCTATATTACCAACTGTATTGAGCCAAACAATGCACTCATTAAACGTGACTAGTGATGGCTGGATAGGCATGATATTAAATAGCTGTAATAAACTACTGTTGCTAACATATTTGTTCCGGTCCAGGTTTCTATTTATTCATTGATTTTTCTTCTTCTGACGTTACTCTGGTATAACGCTGCATATTATGACCATAGACAGTATGATTATGACCGTTCTAAACGCTTGGCTTTT